CTACCGCATCCAAAAACCAGCCCAGCTCGTCCCCGCCTCCCTAACCTGTTCTTCCTCCCACCTATCCCCTCCTCCCACCTCAAGCCGCACCCCCATCTCCTACCTACTAACCTCATCCTGCCCCCTTGACCTGTCCATCCTTCCTGGACTGACCTATCTCCTCCCTACCTCCCCACCTACACTCACCTTTACAGGCTCCATGTCCGCCTCTTTGAACTGTCTGTTTCCTCTCCATCTATCCTCTCCTCTATCCGTCTTCTATTCGCCTCCCCCTCTCTCCCTATTTATTTCAGAACCCCCTTCCCCTCCCCCATTTCTGAAGAAGGGTCTCGGCCCGAAACGTCAGCCTTCCTGCTCCTGTGATGCTGCTTGGCCTGCTGTGTTCATCCAGCTCTACACCTTGTTATCTCAGATTCTCCAGCATCTGCAGTTCCTACTATCTCTGTTTCAACTAGCCCTTGTCAAAGTTATTCTAAAATCCCCTTTTTCTTTTCCAGCATAAATTGCAATTTATGATCCACCCACAAGTAGAATTGGTCTTTCTTTAATTGCAACCTCAATTTTCCTTTTTCCCATTGTTCTATTTTTCAATAATCTTTTTTATAACAATGGACATTGGCACAGCTAAGAATGGAACACTTGTTTACATTCCTTGTGTGAACACTAAATCAACCTGAACATATGTTCACGAATATTCTTGGTGTCCTCCACTGGGCATTTGTGTCTGGACACACCAGACCCGCATGTAGTACTACCGTATGACCACCAATGTCTGAATCTCATTGTGTAGACATAATTGTAAAGAATGGTCACTTGAGTGATAAACAGGTGAGCTGACATTCTAATCGTAAGTTTGTCTTCGGGGGGATAAAAGCTCTTCAGCAAAAAAGAGAAAATGAAAGATAAGAATTGGCTTGCTATTCTTTTACTGCATATCTTGGTTTGCTTAATAGGTGATTCAGACCTTTTCACGTTGTATACTACGTTGTGAAAAAGAAGCTGACCTTGATGAATTATTAGGCACACGACTTGTTTCCTTTATATTGGACCACCATCAGGAAATTCTGCAGGTACCACCTTATTTGCAGAATGCTGTCGACAGCCACATCAATCATCTCCAAAATGTCCAGGTATATACACATCTATTGGTAATTATTTTGTAAGGATGTGTTAGTGAATGCCTCAACTTTATACAGCACAGGAGTGATGTGAATCTTAGTCCAATGTACTTCCAGCATTTTGAGTTACTGTGTATTAATTTTATACTTTCTTATTTTTCAGATTACATATTCCTGCGCAAACATGAATGCTGAGGTTCCAATGTATACATTCTGTCAACAGATAAGCACCAGAGAATTTGAAGCACAAAAGGTTTCTGTATCTCAGATTGCCATAGCTGAGTTGCTGGAAAATATTGTAGAAGACAAAAAGATGTCCATTAAAGACAAGAGGAAAAAACTTAAACAAGTAGGCAAAGGAACTACCTCTGTCGTGTGACTTTGTTTGTTTGTCTGTCTGTTTTTGGTGAGCAAAAACAATTGTACAGATAATCTAAGCCGATTTAAGGAAGCTGTACCATCCTTTGGATAAAAAGATAGTTCCTTAGATTCCATCTGAATATGTCAATTTAACTGTTCTCTTACATAAATGCATCAAATCATCTCTGCAAGGTAACGCTCCAATCTTAAATTTATTCAGCTTTGATTTCAGAATTATTTTAACTTATCTTTGCATAACAACAGAACCAATCCAAAGCAAATGGGGCTCTGTAATTCCTTTCCTTTTTGCACATGTGGATACCACCAATTACAACTGAGGAATTCTCAGTACCCTGAGTTGTCCATGTTGTTACCTTGGAAACAGATGCAGTACGTTACTGATTATTCTTATTCATTGTCCAAATGTCAGTTTGCAAAGGTTCTTTGTCATGCTGTCTTTCAAGAAATTTTTAGTTGCTTGTGCTATTGAAGGAAACTGGCCATTTTGGCCCATTTTATCTAGAATGATTTTTGTTACCCTCAAACGTCTTGTGATTGTTCTGACCTTTATCAGTCTGTATTCTTTTTATTCTTTTCCTCCTTGTGTACATTACCTTGCTTTTCCTTCAGTGCCTTTCTGATTCTGGTACAGCTATTCCTTTCAGCGGCACATTTCATCTTCCCATCATATTTCTAGTACAGAAGATTCTCCTAGTTATCCATTGAATTTTAGTGACTTACAATTATGTTCTCCAGTTCTGCTCACCTCAAAAACTGGAGGCATTTTCTGTCTACTGTATCAAACCATTTCACAATAAAAACATAAATAGAAGCAGGAATAGACCGTACAACCCTTTGAGCCTGCTTTGCTATTCTTAAAAGTTATGGCTGATCTTTTGCTTTTAGCTTCACTTCTCTCTCAATTTCCTGTATCCCTTGTCCATGTTTTGAACTAGGGCTGTAATGAAGTCAAGAGGTGAATGCCTATGTGGCAGAACTAAGACGCAGCATCAGTATTTCATTTATTACTATGTAACTGCAGCTTGATAACATTGTCAATGACACCTTCCAAAACTTTGCACCTGTCTCCATTCAACAATAATTAGCTAAAATTGGATTTGTCTGCATTTTTTAAAAGGGCATTCCTGAACAATTTTCCATTTTGTCAAATATATGCCAGTGTTCATGCTGAATTCCTAATTCAGCATGATTGGAACACAATTCTGTAGTGCTGTTACCAGGATATTGTCAGGGGACATAGCATTTGCAGTATTCAATATATCAACTATTTCTTGATGTCACGTGGCATGAATTCAAATGGCTGAATACTGGCATTTGTGAAGCTGAGAATGTTATGGGGAAGCAGAGACGGAAAGACCATTCAGCATTTTTTTTTTTTAACTGAAGATGGGTATAAATGTTTCAGACTTGTCTTTTACCGTGCTCCTCGTCTACCTAAGGATGGGGATAGTTTGTGGATCCACTGCTACTTCTGGTTAATTGATCACTATTCGTGACTGGACATGGCAAGATTTGAACTTTATTCGAAATTTTGTCCTGGGATTCCTTAGCTTTTGTCTATCACTTCCTGCTTCTGCTGGTGAACATTTTTGTGTGCTTGTTGCTGCCCTGGGCATGTTCTTCTGCACTCTTCCTTGTACCAGGCTTGATCTCTTGGATTCATGGTAATGATTAAGTGAAAGATATGCCAGGTCATGAGGAAAAATACAATTCTACTACTCCTGAAGGCCCACAGCCTCAAGGATGCCTGGTGCTGAGTTGAAAGATCTATTCAAAATCTATTTCCTTTAAATGGTGTTAATGTCCCACAACAGGATAAAGGGCATCAAAGCAAACTACTGGGGATGTTAGAAATCTGAACTAAAAGCAGAAAGTGTTGGAGAAACTCAATATATCTGGCACCATCTGTGGAGAGATAAAAGGTTAATGTTACAAGTCCAATATGTCTCTTCAAACTGAAGTGTTTACTCCTCGTGGATACAGGACTTCACAAGAACTGTGTAATTGTCACTCCTATATCGTCATGGTCCACCGCATCTTTCTCAGTAGATTGACAGCAAGGCCTAGTAGGTTTCTGTTTTTGTATTATCTCACCAACTGCAGGCCTGTCTGGTAGACATGCTCTTTTAATGGCTGTTACCTTGGACAGTAGTGGTGCAGCTGAGCCACCCTTGACATGGATAATGGACCTTTCCACTCAGTATGTTCTCTGCTTATGCCACCTTTTTGGTGCTCCCTCCAAGTCATATTGAATGTGGATGAGAACCAATTCGTTAGCTGAGGGAGGGCAATAGTTGACAAGGAAATATTCATACCTTGCTGTACAGGCAACTTGATTTAATTCCATTAGGTCAGAAGTGAGAATATTTGCAGTTTTTAATTCCGAATTCTTTGGTTAAGAGCACATTCCATTCCTGATATGCAGCAGGATTTGGATTATATTCTGGCTTGAACTGACGTGTGGCACGAATGTTGCTTGCCACTTGAGTGTCAAGCAATAGATATCTCTTAAAAAGATAACCTTATTACCTTGACTTAATATTCAATGATATTACCAAAGCTTAATCCCCATCCTTAACATTTTGAGTTGCCAATTTGCCAGAAACTTAACTTAGTCTAGAATGCATTTGACTTTGTATTATTCAACAGACTTGCAAGCAAGGTTAGAGCTCATGGCATAAAAGGGACTGTAGCAACATGGATTCAAAATTGGCTGAGTGATAGACAAATGGTTGAATGGATTTCGGGTTGGAGGGAGATTTTATGGTGGAGTTCCCTGATATTAATGTTGGGACCCTTACTTTTCTTGGTGTACAGTTAATGTTCCAGAACATGGAGTAAAAGGCACAATTTAAAAATTTGATATGAAACTTGGAAGCATTGTAAACTGGAATGAGCATAGTGTCAAGCATTGTAAACTGGAATGAGCATAGTGTCAATGTTCTTAATTGCTACAAGTTGGTGTGGGCAGAGAAATGGCAAGCGAAATTCAATGTGCAAGTGACATTTTGATTTGAACGTGGATTGTAATCTCAGATTACACACCATGAAGTGATTTTCAAAAAAAATTAGTTTCTAACTTGCCACTATTTCTTTAAAAACATTTCCTTTTATCTTCCTTGTCATTGATCAAGGATGAGGACCCATGACAGCTGGAACATCCTAAGTCCAAACAAAAGCTCCTCTCCAGTTGCTCGGGTGTGCTTTATTTTTGCAGGTAGACAATAACACATTTCTGCACTGCTGGTTATTGCTGCAGAGGATATTGTCACTTCCCCTAATTATTGAATTCCTATGACGACAATATTTCTATTCTGTTCCTGCCTGTCCACTCTTGCTTTTTTTGCCCCAACATATCCCAGTCTTGTATGATGTTAGCATTCTTGGTATCCTTTCCTGCAGCGTTCATTTGAGTTGAATGTATTGTAACGGTTGGGATGCACTAGTTCTGGAATGGGGTGGGGGGGGGGGGGGGGGGGGGGCGTTCGAATTTCTGGAATGGGGGGGGGGGGGGGAGAGCGGGGATCCTTCTGAATTCTTTGATTGTCCCTTATACTCCTGACGGCATTCAAACTGTCCTATTTCTGCACCTGTGCTTTCCTCCAAGATGTCACTACTTGGGAGAAACTGTTATTTTCCCTTCTGGTACTATTCTAATAAATCCATCATCATTGGCTGCAATACTCCAGTTGGGGCACACCACTGCTGTATGAAGGTCATAAATAACTGGAACAAAAACAAGTTGCTGGAAAAGCTCAGCAGGTCTGGCAGCATCTGTGAAGAAAAAAATCAGAGTTAACGTTTCAGGTCCGGTGACCCTTCCTCAGAACTGCCTTGCTTTCTGCAGTATACCTCTAAAGCCAAAGATCTTGTGCCTTTTTAACAGCCTTCTAAAATCATCCTGCCTCCTTCAATAATCTGACAAATACAGAAAAAATTGAGTAAATCCAAATTTCTAATTTAGAATAGGTGCTTTTCATTTATGAAGTACTTTCTCAGTGTCTAATGCAAAGACTATGTTGATGCACTTTTTGTGTAAGCCTGAAAATGAGTTTCCTTTGTGTCGGGGCAATGTTCCCTTAATCCTACTTGCCATGGATAATATATAATAGCTTTGACTCAAACTTTTAAGTTATCTTCACGAAATGGTTTGCTGTCTTATGAATAATCCTGTCATATTTCTCCTCCATCGACTAAAATAGAAAAGAAATTGGGCAGGATGTAAAATTGGTAGTCAACCTGTTCCTACCCAACAAGAATATTCAACATTGAATCTTTTATGTCTAGTTTATAATAGAACTTGTGTATTGCTGAACTGGGGAGAGTCATCTGACAGTGAATATTTTGGTGAAATTTGAATATTGTTACTTTTAGGGGTTTGTCATCATCTTTTGTATAGTCAGTTGATATGCACGTAATTTTCAGATAGTTTAAGTTTAGACATGATGCATTCTTTAACAAGATAAGGAATGCAACCATGACAATTGGGGATGGTTCTCTGGTAGTGTGGAATATCTTGGTCTCGTTAAAGTTGTTGGGGGCAGCATCCCACTCTTTGGAAAAGGGTGTTGGGGAACTCCTCCCTTGGTCTTCCTTTTCCCCTTCTGGTCCATCTTGCATCTGTCTGGTGAAGACTGCTCAGTGAAGACCGATCTTTGGGGACTGCCCAATAACTGCTGCCTGCAAGGTCTGCTTGATGAAAAGTGCCCACTGAGGAACTCCATTCTGCCCCTAGGTCTGCTTCATTCTTGGTCACTGCATGGCTTTACCAGTGCAAATTTTGCTTCTATAACTTCCTTGGCCCCGGTGGTCTTCCTCCTGTCCTGCGTACTCCTCCCTGAGCCTAGCACTTACTGTTAATCATACATCTAGGGGCTTGTAGCTTGCGGTGTCAATCAATTGTCTGAACCCTTTTCTGCTAATGGTCATGGGACAGCCACTCCATGATGTTGGATGACCATTGTCCCCTTGCCTTCATCTGAAAGTTAGTATTTCTTCTTAGAAAAAGGTAAACTAACTTTTGCAAATAATACACTGAAATAGGGCATATTTTGGCACCAGCTAAATCACTGATGCTAGTTCAATGACATTGTGACATCTGTTTTTATATGCTTGAATTTTGGAAAGTTAAGTATTGCTGTTAGTAGCTGTTAAATAAAATCTTGAGCTACAGATTAAAAACTAGGAAATTTCATCTTTTTAAGGGACGCCAATATTAAGTGCTAATATAATATGTTTATGCTGATGTTAAATTTTCCTACATTGGGAAAAATCTTATTCGAATGTTTGTTAACAAGAAATAACTTGGTTTAATTGAAATATTTACCAATTCTCTTTCTGCTTCAGTTCCAAAGAGAATATCCAGAAATCTACCAAAATCGCTTCCCCACAACTGACAGCGAGGCCAAGCTCTTCCAGGATAAACCCAAGATCAAGCAACCAATGTTAATTACAATGAAGAAGCCACTTAAAAGCCTTCAGAAAATGCAGAAACTGAGATACTGAATTAAAAGATCAGATTTTATCGATATTTGTACAAATCTTCAAATCTTTCATGATCTCGCTCCATCAAGTGAAACTTTCAGGAAAGGTTTCCTAGGAGTCACCTGTTTATAGAAACAATGGGAACAAAAACCAGTAAGAAGCAAAGAAGGCATTCAGTAGAGTGCATACCACACCATTACTGGTATCTTGCAGCTTTCTTGAGTTATAGTTATACAGCATGGAAACAAGCCCTTCAGTCCAACCAGCCCATTGCTGAACATAATCCCAAACTAAACTAGTCCTATCTACCTACTTGTCCCTACCCCTCCAAACCCTTCCTTTTTATGTACTTGTCCAAATGTCTTTTAAACATTGTAATTGTACCCACTTCCATCCGTTCCTCAGGAAGTTCATTTCACGTGTAAACCACCCTTTGTGAAACAAAAAACAATTTTGTCACTCATATCTTTTTTTTAAAATCTCTCTCTCTCCTCTCACCATTTTAAAAATGTGCCCCTTGTCTTGAAATTCCCCCATCCTAGGAAAAAGACAGCTTCCATTAACTTTATCTTTACTTCCCTTTTTTGTTTAATAAACTGCTACTAGATTGCCTCTCAACTTCCTATGCTCCACTGGGGGGGAAAAAAAAAGTCCCAGCTTATCCAGCCTTCTTAAATAACTCAAACCTTCCATACCTGGCAACATCCTGGTAAATCTCTTCTGAACTCTCTCCAGCTTAATAATAATCTTCCTATAACTGGGCAACTAGAACTGGATGCAGTATTCCAGAAGAGGCCTCACCAATGTCCTGTACGACCTCAACATGACCTCAATTCCTGTACTCAAAGGACTGAGCAATGAAAGCAAGAATGCCAAATGCTTTTTTAACCACCCTGTCGATATGTGACACAAACTTCAAAGAATAATGTACCTGAACCCCTAGGTCCCACTTCTACAACACCAGCCAAGGCCCTACTATTAATTATATAAGCCCTACCCTTTTGTTTATTGTACCAAAATACAATAGCTCGCATTTCCCTAGGCTGAACACCATCTGCCATTTTTCAGCCTATTGACTCATTTGATCAAGATCCCTTTGTAATCTTAGAAAACCTTCTCGCTGTCTACTGTGCCACCAATTTTGGTATCGTCTGCAAATAAGGTTTTTCCCTGTTTGATGCTCTATAATTACAATACTGAAAACAAAATATTTTTATTCCAATCTTCCCTATCTCAGAAGAGGCTTTCGACCAATCTGCATCCAACAGCTTGCTCTTTTTTTAAAAAAAAATGCTTGTATTATGATTGTGGTACATTCCGCCTCAATAGCGGAGACCATTCACAACATTCTAAATCAAACAATCCATGGGATTCTTTTGGAATTTAAAAAAAAAATTCAAATTTGCCTAGCTCAATGTTATCAAGCCCTTCATTTAAAAAGAAAATTCCTGAATCCGGATTGTTATCTTTCATGAAAGATTAATCAGTTCTCCCTTGGTACGTAAACATAGAATCCCTACAGTGTGGAATCAGGCCATTCAACCCATTGAGTCCACCCCATCTTTCTGAACAGCATCCCACCCAGACCCCCATCCCTGTAGCCCTCCATTTTTGTTTGGCTAATCCACCTAACCTGCACATCTTTGGACTTTGGTAGGAAACTCACGCAGACACTAGTAGAATGTGCAAACTCCACACACAGTCCCCCGAGGTGGAGTATCAAACCCACGTCTCTGGCGATGTGAGGCAGCAGTGCTAACCACTGTGCTGCCTAAATCTAACAGCTTCATTGAAACCTATTACTTTTTGAGATGCTAGAGGTAAAAATATTTAACTCTGTCTAGTCATGCGCTCAATGGATTAGACAATATGTATAAATAGATGTTAAGTCAATATTTGGTTGAAATCCTTTTTTTCTCTGAGAACCTCACTTCCCATTACAGATACCATCTTTTATTGAGTACTTGTATTTGTTTTGGGTTTCCAGCAGGTGCAAACTTTATAGAGTAGCTTTCATGTGTGCTAGCAAACATACATCAATTCTAGACCTGAGGCAATAATGATGGGTCTGGTTTAAGTCTAATGATATCTGCCAGATAAATGGGCTTGCTTGGTTGTGAAGTTATCCATGTATAAGTGTTTATTTATACAGTACATTGAACTGTTACTCTGCATAAGGTTTCCTAATTTCATAAGGCAAAGCATAGTTACATGCTATGAAAATTAGAATTATTTACTTAGCTTAAAGGTCTTTCTAGTTTAAATGTATTCTTTTATGTCATTGACTGTGATAAGCCAACAGTATCAACTGTTAGTTTCTGATTAAAACCATTTTCCAAAAGAAAATTGCAGATAGCTATCTTTAAGTTTCTAAATCTCTATCAAAGCAATATTTTATGCAGTCTACTTGCTAATTTACCTAGTTCTTGTTTATTAGGGATTAAGGAATTATTCAGATTTGTTGAGATGTGGAAAATTTTAAAGGGAATTGAGAACTAGCAAAAGTTTGCAAATTACAAGTTTTTAATTATGATTTGATTGTGAATCTGCAACATAAATGCTTGAGCAACCTATCAATAGCAACAAAAGACAGGTTGGATGCTAAGAGATATGACATCTTCTGTGCCCCTCCACGGTACTGTATCCTGATTTCACTTTTGTACAGCAAACAATTTATTAACTGGCTCCTATGGGACCAGGAGTATATTGGTTGATCAAATATTCCAGATAATCAAGGGGTCCACATAATCAATATAAAAATAGATACTAAGTAATAGAAACATAATGCAGGAGGGTATACTGTTATACTTGTATTTACAACATAAATCACTCAAATACTGTATTGTCCAATTATTATAGTTGATTTACAACTTTGCCTTCAATAAAACTTAACCGCAGAGAGCCTTGATATTTCATTGAAGTTAATAAACTATAATAATTGGACAATACAGTCGACTTTGGCATTTGAGATGTCTAATTTTTGCAGGTTTATAGAGTATCAGTTTATAAGGTGCCGGTTAAAGCAAAGTTTACTGTAATATGCTGTGAATCAACTGGTGTTTTTTGAAGGAACTGTCTAGTTTCTTGCATTCCGGATTCTACCACTAACTCTGCAAGCTGATAATTTTGAAAAGGCAACTGGATCCTTAAATTGAAATGGGTTTCCACCACCCCTTCAGGTACTGTTGCAGATCTTAACAACTCTTATGTGAAATGAAATTATTATTTATCCAGTTTTCCAATTGTTTTAAATCTATTTACTGATCCACTTGCTGGGAAACTGTTTTTTCCATAATTTGTTGTAATTAAATTTTGATCTCCTTTGAGTAGAGGAAGGAAAGGGACGAACAATTCCAACTTCTTTACTCTTTCTACATGACTGAACTACCACATCCCTGCTACCATTTTGGTACTATGCCATCTTAGACCTTTGTTTCCTCATGTGGAACTCATTGTACACAATAGTTCAGCAGAGATCTAACCAGTGATTTATATAACTTCAGCCTCAGTTTCTTGCTTTTGTTTTGTATCAGTGCCTACCCTGTTTACAAAGCCAAGTTTTCTTTAACCTTTCTTAACACCTTATCAACATTCTGACATCTTCAAAGGTTTGTGAACACACAACTATCTTCTTAATTGTATAATCTAGTTGATGCTTCTGTATGTTCCTCTTAAATTGGAACATTAACCTGCATTAAGTTACATTTGCATGTTTGCCCACTTTGCCAGTCTTTAAATTCTGAAGTCTAAGTGTATCCTCTCTCTCTTCAGTATCTACAAACTTTGAAGTTGCATGCTACACAAGCTCAGATCATTTGTGTATATAATGAAGAAAACTGCAAGGTATTCTCATCTCCAGTCAGCAATTTCTCTGCTTTTTCTCTAATATTTAGATTAAAACATTTATAGCGTAATAAAATATTCACTAACTTTCAGCTGAACCTTGATCTACATATCCCCACTTTCCTGTTCTGAAATAAACACTTTAAGATCTACATTTAAATGCAGTGTGACATTTCAACAAAGTATACAGATCTTCCCTTGTATAGTGAGAAATCCAAAAATGACTTTTTTTTTTGCTAAATCCTACAAACATTAAACTCCATTAAGGCATTTTACAAGCGGTTGATGGGAAGGTTGAAGCAGCTGATTTAGCATCGCTGATCAGTAAAGAAAGATCTTTACTGAAGAACAAAGTCAGAATTTATGGTGTATGCCTTCCTATACAGCACTATGTAATCTAATTTAGGGCATTAGAGGAAATGTCCCAAAACGCCTGTTAAACTCCACAGTTTTTTTTTTGAAACAAGAGATAAGCTGACTCAGCTAGCTGGTATATTTTGTCTGTTTCCTAACACGTACCAGGCATGTGTACACACCAAGGCGTAGCGTTCCATAATTTGTTTAATTTTCGTGACTACAGCAAGTTTGCTGCTTTGAGATATTCCCTAACAGCACTTTACAGCTCCAAATGTTTGCATTCAATTTAACGAGTGGAAATATTGGTGGCCAATTTAAGCAACCTTGAGCCTAGACCATAGCATTTACTATCATGGATAACCTCCAACTTGGGTAAGAAATCATCTGAAACTTAGGGTTGGCATTTCCTCAGATGTATTTACTGCTAGGAGACTGAGGATTGTACTTTCCTGCTGTTTTCATCCCTCACTGATACTTAACCTCGACACATGTGACGGTATTATGATTGTATCCCTGTTTCTGATGGTGAGAATTGGCATGATGCATGAATTGGCATGTTAACTACATTGAGTGCCAATGCATCTTTTTGTAGATGGGCCGTAGATCTCCTTGCTTCAAAAGGACTCAGGATTTCATTAAACTATTCTCGTCTGCTCAACATCCTAAGTAATTTAGGCATTCCTCTTTTTAAAAACTCATGAAAAATTAAAATTATTGTCTAAATACAATTTCTGCCCCTTGAAGTAATTTGAGATTTTGGCATATGTAGATATACATGCCATTTTTACTTTAATAATATATAAGCAAACAGTTCTTAGAAG